TTTTTTTTGTTAGCTGCTCCAATTAGCTACTCCTCAGCAAAGCGATATAGACTTGGCAATCTCAAATCGTGTTTTCTCTAACAAAGCCAAAGCGAACTACAAGCTATACCGAGGAGGTTTCTCGTATCGAGAAACACGAAAATCAGCTTTAACTACGTCAGAACTTACTTATAATTTTCTAAGCTCAAATGACATGTTTACCTGGAGTCTGCGTCTTCAAGAAATCTTCAGGAACGTATAAAGTTCGCGGGCAGTAATCTGGGTGATCTGCCTTCCTCCCATCAGCGTCACGAATTTTACCAGGTTGAAGGAATTCGAATTCGAGGTGCGGAAAACGCCCAGTGGCACACTCATCAATCAAAAGTGTTGCATCAGCAGATGTTTTAACTGTCCCCTCCTGCAGCTCTTTTTTTGAGCTTATTACTGAGACGGTTGATGTATCCTTAAAACTCCATGATGAAAATTTTTATAATAAACAAACAAGTGCATAGGAAGAAAATCTTTTTTTCAAGAAAAAGTGTCTTCCTTACCAAATCAACCTCTGTTGCGCGAAAAGAACTAATAAATGACTGTGCCAATTCGCCATCAAATTTTAATGCTGGTTTTAAAGAAGCCGAAGAACACTCGGTTTTCTAAAATCCACTTATGTTACAAATTACTAAGAATTTCTATGAATAATGAAGACAACAGAGAAGAGGACCAAAAAAATCAAAAATGGCTTTTGAAGAATTAAGATGAGATACCAAAAAAACATTTTAACAACGACTCAATAAATAGAAAATCTACTAAAAAGACTTGTTTTAAAACACTAACCTTTCGCTTGGGTGTTATTTCAGTGACCGCACTTCTTCCTCTTTCACTCTCTTCTGAATCATCCTCAACCTCCATTCCTTCCTCGCTTTCATCCTTACTTCCGATATCTTCTTGCACTTCACTTTCAGACTCGGAGTCAGAATGTATAATGCGCTGACGTTTGACACCCCTGCTTTGCTTTATGGGTGAGTCTTCAGAGTCTTCGGGCTTAA